TTTAGAAGCTTTTTTACCTTGTTAAATCTCTAAGAGTAAAGAAACTTATGGAAACAAATAAAATTTGGAAGTTGGTGTATGATGAAGAAGATTTCATTTGACTTTTTGTGACTTTGAGGGGAACAGCAGATGTCAAGATTCCCAGTTGGGGAGGTTCATGACCCCTGGAGAGATTAGGAAAGTCTAATCCGTGACCTGCATCTGTTGTAAAAGAAAATTTTCTAAAGGTTAAATACATTTTTTAAAAATTTTGAACCTTATAGATTCTCAAATACAGGTGTAGCTGTATAGGTCTCATATATAATTAAGTTAATCCAAATTAGTATAATGCCTTAGTTATAAGGGTTTTGCTTATCTGTTTGCTTTTAGTGGCATTAGCTTTTTCATGAAATTAATTTACTTAGAAAGGGGAGGGTTGTTTTAACTGTTCAGATTTTCCAACATCCCCTGCCCCCCACCGGCAAAATACTCATGAGCATTATTTACTCGTAAAATAGAAACTACTTCTCATGTGCTGGGACCCTTCCAGTGTCCCGAGATCATGGGATCCCTGATTTGTGAGGTGCAATAAAATCTATGTCATATGAAAAGAACCAGACCAGAGTCCAAAGATAACAGTGCTGCGTAGCCTCTCTGTGGCCAGTGAAGATTTTGTTTTACAAGACGTGTCCGTGTTTGGTCAGTAAAGCCAACACAAAAGGTGAATGAAAGAACATTACTTTAAAGGCATTAAGAAACATGCCAAAGGAAAGCGTTTTCAGTGCGAACATTCCTAACGGGGTAGAAGTACCGAATCAGCATCAGGCCAGCCAAGCATAGCTTTGTTTCCCATCTATGGATGCCAGAACATAGACAATGAAAAGTGCTGCTCCAGCAAAAACACGGCCACTGCTAGAAATCTTCATTCCTTTCCTCTTGTCCTCTTGTTTCTTTCTTTTCTGTCTTTCCCTCCATCCTTCCTTTAAAAATTTTTGGTTTATCCTGAAATTCTCAGAAGAGATTTGTGTATGTTATCACAGCCATGTTTCATGGCTTTTCTAGTAAAAAGAGCCTGACAGCCTTCCAAGAAAAACATATTTTCCTATTCTTTTACTAGGAATAAGTAAAAGGCAGGCAGAAAGGGAGGAAGGAAGGGAGGGAAAAGTGCAAGCATTACCAAGTCAGATCTCCTATGTATTTAAACTTTACCTATACATCAGTTACCATTTATGTACTTATATTCCACTTACAAACCATGTAGATGTAGGCCTTCTTTTTAAAATTTGTACAAATATTAGCCTTGTTAAATGAGTATAAGCTACCACCCATCGTTTGGAGTTGAAAGATATTTGTGATAAAATACTGTACAGAAGAAATGACAAATATCTTAAGAGAACAGATTGAATAGCAAGATTTATTAAGGACATAAACAGGATGAAGTGGATCTTCAAGGAACATCCAAAATGAATTGGAATCCAAGATTGCAATTGAAAATACGCATTTAAGCTACATTTGATATTGGTTCTAAGGACTCCTTAAATTGCCTCTTACAGTAGGATTATCTGTTTTCCCATAGAATAAATTCAGACACCATATCTTGTCTATATATAGCTATGAAATTCAGAAATGAAATCGAACGTGAAAATTTTGATCTCCCTCATTTTCTTCACAGAATTCAAAGGAAAGTCAAAGACAGGTGTTTCACTGTATATTGCATTGCCTGTTGCCTCAAATGTCACCTTTTCTCAACTGAGAATTTTTAAAGAATGACATAAACCCTTAGGCAAAATTTTACAACTGTACAGTTCAAAGTCCTGATTAAATACAAAGAGGACTGCCAAAGCGATGAGTCCTGAGAGCAGGGAGTCACACGCTAAGTATCTGACTCTGCAGAGAAATAGACTCTGCAGAGAAAACCTCCACATGTTCTTCCCCTTTTGGGTTCCTTACCTCCAGGAGAGATGTAGAAGCAGTTGAGCTGAGCTTCGTGCACCAAGGTGCCCTTGCACTTCGTCTCCGTGTCGGCAGACAGGTGACTGGGCAGCGGCCGGTATGCAGGTGTGGTGGGCTGAACAAAGGCTCGAAGCATGGTGAATTTCCAGATGTATACTAATAAACTGATTTTAAAACTCAAAAAAATTTCTTAGGCTCTTCTTATAATTTTTAAAATTCAGAAGCTATTCCTAGAATAACGATTAGAGCCACAGAAGTTCACACAGCTCTATCACTTGGCTGCAAATTTAGCCTGTGGTAATTACTTTAAGTTTTAGAATTCTAAAAACTCTTTTTAGCCTTGTCTTTCTCTACCTTCCCCGCTGTGCTTACTGCCTGCAGGGGGACAGGCCTCTCACCCAATGGCTTTACAGGAAACCTTGGATTGAAATGTTAAGTTAATGGTTTCTGTCACGCTGTCAGCTCATCACCTCACGAAGGCATGATGGGCTCTGGTCTTTTTATATCACCACAAGTTGCTCAGATAGACCCTCTTCTGCGGAGTGATTGGTTTGTCCAGGAGTTGGTAGACCTTGGGCCTGAGAGGCAGAAAACTTCAGTTGGAGAATGTACACTTTAACGGAATTCACAGCCCCTTTCCCAGCGGAATGCAGCTCAAGTTGCAAAACTATTTTAGGGAGGAAAAAAATGGGACTCGGGTCACATTTTATCTTGGTGCCCTTTTTAGTAGCTGAGACTGCTGTAGTAGCCCTCACTGTTTATTCTTTATGTTCAACCTAAGTATTAACCAAAACGAAAGGAGTTACTTCAAAATGATTTCATTTTAATTTTAAAACCGTGTTGCTTTAGAGATAAATGGTTGGGCCTTAAAACTCCATGATATTTTAAATAATTACTACAAAGCTACTTTTTCCTTCATCTGCTTTGACATTTGAGAGATTTTTTTTCCTAGCATTTTCCCTCCTTAAGTCTGCCTTTCAGTTGTCTCATAGTAATGACAATGTCAGACTGCTTGTCTGTTTGTATCAACAGTTTCCTTGGCATCCTACCCTCATGAAAATCTAGTTCCTTATGTCAGATGCCACAAATGTCTAACGTCGAGAAAAATGGCTCCCAAATGTTTCTGTTACTGCAGTCTACTGATGAGAGACACCAGTGCCAGCTTCTCTGCACCAAGCCTCGGGTTTCTTAGTTGTGCTGTCTTTCTCCTTTGACAGTTTTGGAAAATTCTTGTCTCCAGGGAAGGAAAGTTTTTGCTGTAGCCAGAAAAACAGAACAAGCTTCTAGTATTGTAACTAAATTAAAGCCACCAAAGCACACAGATGTATTCAGATTTATTAAGTGGTTGGATGTCTGTGATTCAGTCTGCTTTTTCTTATAAGAACAGGAGGGCAGGAGGGTTGACACACAGGACCTGAGTTGGGAATCAGTGGGGTGAGTGTTGATGGACTGGAAGCAACCTGGAATTAGAGTTTCACAGTACACATTTAACGATCTTGAAATGAAAAAAATTTGTTTTGATGTAAAAGTTCTTATGGAGCATATCGACTTCAGAACTCAGATAATATTTTTCTTTCAGCCCAGCCTGGTGGCACATGCCTATAATCCCAGCACTTGGAGGCTGAGGCAAGAGGATCATTGCGAGTTCTAGGCCAGCCTGGGCCACAAAGTGAGCTCAAGGCCACCCTGAACTGCATACCAAGACCTTGTCTCAAAAAGACCCAAAAAAAAAAAAAAAAAAAAAAATTGTCACTGTACCAAGGAGGAATTTGTGTATATATTTCTATCTAAGAGGGTAACATGGTCTAAGAAAAAGCTGGGATTCTTTTCTCCTGCTTTTTTCCCTTTCACATGTAAGGGGTAAGATAAAGGTTCCCTACACACTTACAATTACAAAAACAGTTTAAAACCTCACTGCCAACTTTTGGCAAGTTAATAATTGAGATTCATAAGGTTCCTCTTTAAGATACCTCCTTAAAATAGTACTAAAAAGACATTTCTCATGCTTTTTGATATTTGAATGGTCATTGTGAAAAAACAGAACTCTCATGCCTAGTCATTGGCCAGGTAAGGCAGGAAAGACCTTGGTTGCAGTATCACAGCTATCTTAATGAAAAAATAGCATTAATGTGATTAAATGTTCTGAAAATTTAAATTTCATGTTTCCCTTTTTAAAAACTTGTGGGTTTTCATTGCTGTATCATAATATTGCTGCTGTTTTCAGTGAGGACCTTTAAAATACATATGTAGTTAATGTATCATTTATATGATGAACGCCACCAGATCCTAAACTAGATATTTATAAATGCATTTTGGAACTGCTTCAGCCTTTGCTACAAAGATGTAGAGATGGGCACACACTAAATTTAGCAGTCACTTTATTTGAAAAACTATTAAGTGAATCGATAGCAGCTATATTATACCACATTTTCTTTCATTACTAAGTAGTTAAATTATAGTCATATTTAATCTTTCAACAGTTGTAAATTTTCTATGCAGACATTTTGAAGTCAGATTCATGATTAAAATTTATTTTTTCTACTTCCCTATCCTAACTTAGAGCTCACAAAGCTAGTTTTTCAGTTAACATATTCCTGGGAAGAGAAGAAGGGAGGGAGGTTTCGAGGCATAATTTGAGCATCAGGTTTCTGAATATTTAAAAATGAAGATGAAATGTGTTTATGAAATGTGCAAATGGAATATAGAAACAATGATGTCTCAAAGCCAGAAGTTTAGAAATCCTGACTTCATTTTCAATCTGTATTCATTTGTTGAAGAAGTATTTACCAAATTCCTGTTGTATTAAGGTGCTGTGTGTGTGTGTGTGTGTGTGTGTGTGTGTGTGTGTGTTTGAGCACAAAACTACTGCAGATTTCTCTGTGGGCTTGAAAGAATTCCACTGCAACATTCTTAAGCTTTAACTCCAGAGACTTGTTTAATTTATTTAATTTATTGAATAAATTAATTTAATACATAAATTATTATGTATTTCACTTTAAGAAGGAAAGGGAATCTCTTCCTAGTTTGTGGTGAGGTTGCTCATACTTTGTTCAATGTGTTTTTTGCAGTGTCCATTTATGGAATCTGGTTTTATGATAAGGAAGAATGCCAAAGAATTGCAGAGCTTATGAAAAAGTAAGTGCCAAAAGGCTAAATATTTTTCAGGACCTGATGCTTTTGTTTGTATTTCTAAGTGTAGGCAGAAGCACTATAATCTTAACAGGATAGATCTAGTATAGAAGTTATTTTCACAGCAGTCAGTAAAACATTTAATACAGGTGGAAAACAACATAAAAACAACTTGCTACATTTTTTTACTGGATTTATCATCTTTGACTCAATACTTTTTTTTCAATACATTTCGTTCTGCCTATGTGAAATATATGTAAGATGAGTTTTCCCAGACAGCAGTTTTCCTTAATAGTTTCCTTATTTATAAATTAGTAATTTTTGTTTTGAAAAGTTATCAACATGTCTGTTAGTGAAAAGAAAATTCAGAGCCATCCTAAAAGGCTGCTCCAGATTTGTAAGATCTGTCATTTCCTTCCTGCCCTAAACACTTTCCTCTAACTGCATATCCTTGTGTGTAGGAACTCAGAATTACATACCATGTGTCAAACACTGAGTTCTTAGAATACTCTTTAATCTTCCATCTCTGAAAATTTCTGAGTTGATATTAGTTTAATAATTTGTCTGTCTGTCTTTCCCCTGCCCCCACTAGTCTTTGTCCTTTAATCTCATGATACCTTGTGATCTGTTCCATTCTGCATTCTGGGAAACTTTTGCATTCTGACTTTCTCGCAATCTGGCTTTTCTGACTCCATTGAAAGGAAGGCCCAGAAGAGCTTGCTTTCTGCTATGGGGTTGGTACACTTCCTATCAGCCCCAGGACACTCACTGTGAAGTGGTTATTTCCCGGATATTTATGGAGATGGGTAACAGCCTCAGCTACCTGTGCTATGTCTCAGCCTGGGCCTGGCCTTGGCCAAGCATAGGACAGCTGTTGGCCACGTAGATGTGATGCCCAGGTCTGTCTGCAAAAGAACCAGTTTCCATTTTTGAACCCGAGGGGATGAAATGACCAAAAAGTGACCCCAAGGAAATGAAAATGGGGAAGACCTTTTTATATAAATAAAATTGATTCCTGAAAATCTCGCTTGTAAGAGCTAATTTTAGGTAACTAGCTCAAGTTGCAAGTGGTGATTAAGTGTATTCAAACCGGTATTTACTACCCTAACAGCTCGTTTCTAGAGCATTCATGTTATTGTAAGTGTGCAGTGGATAATAATAGTAGGATTTCATACAGATTAAAAAATACCCTGTAGCTCAGCCAAGAGACCATGGTAGAACTGTCAGCATTCTGCTGTAATTGCTTAACAGCTCCGGCAGGAAATTGATTATTTATTAGTAATAAGCAGCTGATGCGTGAAGATTCAAACCCCTTCCCCAGTTAGAATTAAATCTCTCAGTAAATCCTCAGATCTATTTTTTATCATAAACTTCATGGCCTAATAAAAGAATTTGAGCTGAAAGTCAAAGCATATAGAGGGAAAAAGGTATTTTTCTCAGCATTCCCTTGCTGCATGTAGAGCAATCTGGTCTCATGTTGCTTTCAGAGCAAGGAAAGACATTCCTCATTTCCTTGCTTGTCAGTAGTTTTTAAAAATTAGTGTGTGTTTTAAATGCTCCTTTTCTCAGAATTAGGATGGAATTGTCACTGTGTTTCTAAATGGAGATATAAATTGGTGCATCAGTTTTGCTTTGACTTCAAGGCACTCTGAGATGAGAAGGAAAAAAATTCTGTATTGGCCATGCAATTTGGTTGGTGCTAGAGAACTAAACAGGGCTTCCTCGGCAGTTAGTGAGCACATTCTCTCAAGTGCTCTAACAAGAAGTTGGCAAACTTTCTTTGAAAGGGACCACATAGTGAATATTTTAGCTTTTGCAGGCTACATAGCTCTGTTGCAGCTGCTCAGCTTTGCCATGGTAACGTGAAAGCAGTCATAGGCCCTACATACTGGCTTTCTGACCCTTCTATAGATTTATATGTAGCCAGTTAACACAAGACCTCAGCTTTCATCTTTTGTCTTAAATTCCTGAGTGATCTTATTTTTAATGCAGTTGTAACAGGACGAAAACAAACGGGTAAGAACTGGGATGATTTTAAAAGCCATTTTTGTTAAATTGGCTTTTCTTGTATGAGTCTCCCCCTCTGTTTTTTAGCCTAACTCAGTATGAACAGTTGAAAGCCCATCAGGGTGCTGGGACAGGAATCTCCCCAATGATCCTCAATTCAGGAGAGGGCAAAGAAGTGGATATCTTACAAATGCTCACCAAGGCCAAAGATGAATATACAAAGGTGAGTTGTTGCCCTTCCTTGTGATATAAATTTACATTCCACAGTGGAAATATTGTTGCTGAGAAAGACTCCAAACAAAACTATGAAAAGTAAAATCTTTATTTGCTTTTATTGGGCTAAAGAAGACTTAGCTTTTAAGTGAATTAAAAGGTAGCCTGAGAAATCAGTAACCTTCATATAAACAAACAGTGTCAGTTAAATTTACTAGAAGACCCCATTTACATAAATTCCTTTGTAATAAAGTTCACAAAAAAGTAGGCAAAACCTGTAGGAGGAAAACTTTAATAACTCCTGAAATGCATAAAAATAGACTTGAGCATATGGAAGTGTATGTCCTATTCTTGGATAAGAAGATTCAGCAGAAAGCTCTGAATTCTTTTTTAATCCCTGAATTTGAGGTGATCCCTAAACAAATACCACTGGTTTCTTTCCTTCTTCTCCTTCTCTTTCTCCTTTTCCTGGTTGGAAGGTTCAAATGGAGAAATACACAAGGAGGAATAGCTAGGAAATCCCTGACAAGGACGGCGGTAGGGAGGTAAAAGGCAGATAGGAGTTTAGGGGTGGAAGGTGGGGGTTGGAACAGGTTCTACCTGATATTAAAAATTGAATTCTAAACATTTAAAATTGTATTGATTGATGGTATTGATACATAAAGAACCAGATGGACCAATGGGGCCAATGAGATGCTGCAGAATTAGATACAAGTATATGCGAAATTTAAGATGTGATAAAATAACTATTTTATCAGCTATTTGAATGAATTTTTAAATACAGGTAAATAGTATTGAGGCAACTGGTAGCCATTTGGAAAAGTAAAAACTTGAATCTGTACCTCACACTGTACACTAAGACAAATTTCAAATGTATTAGAAATTCAGCCACCAGAAGAAAACTTATTTGGATGACTTTGCAATCTAGGAAAAGGGAAATCTTCCTAACTATGCCTTAAAACCCATATTCTGGAACTAATTTCAACTGTAGAAAAAGCAAGTGTTCTATAGGCTATCAGCCAGGCACAAGCAAAGTGCAAGATATGAAAGCAACTGAGAAAAAAGTATTAACATATAAATTATAGGAACTGGGCTAATTGCTAGCTCCTAAAAATTGAAAAGTAAACATTTGATACTCTCTAGAAAAATAGCCAAAAAATAAAATAAAACTCTTGTCATTTAGAAACTACTATAAGTTGTATGTAACTGAATATAGTATTGTGATTCATTAGATAAAAATTAGAGTGACTTCAAAACATAGTTTGAACTGAACAGTCTTAGTGGGCGATATATTAAGGATAAAAAGAGCTACATAGAAATTATAAACTTAATTCACTGGTTTCATTGTTAGAAGAAATATTGGCATTATACTTTTTCAACAGTCCTGGATGTTATAAATAAAAAATTCCATTAATGTGACTGGAACCAAAGCTTCAGTATAACAGAAAAAAAGATCCAGTCAATTAAATTAAAACTATAATAAATCCAGTAAATAAATTAAAACTATATAATGCTAAACAGTAAGTGGAAATATAAAAATTAATTCATGTTTTGTTTTCTAACTGTAGAAACAAAACCCAGAAAGTTCCTAACTCCTTCTCTGAAAAGACCCAGAAATAAGTGATAACCCAGTAGCAATAAACACTACTATGATTGCTACTATTTCCTCCTAAAAGGTATCAGAGCTCTTTGAAGAAATTTCTGATTGCAGGTCTGGGATAGTAAAGTCTCACAAGGTCCTGTGGATATGGCACCAAAGTCAGCTTAAAAGATCACTGAACAAAACATTAACTTGTCACAGCCGCAGGAACGACTACCACAGACTGAACACACTGAATGTGTAATAGTCAGTGAGTTCATGGTTAGAGAGAGCAAGCAAACAAAAATATCAGATAAAACAAAGTATCATTATTGGCTACCCTTTGACAGTACTAGGATACCAACAACTTCCTCTGAAAATGGATAGTTAATGGGACTGAATTAAGCTCTTATCCTACCTGCCCCAAGTAACCAAACATCCCTAGTCAAAGAGGGAAAGTTCTTCTCTACCCAGGAATTGTAGTTAAGAAATGCAGAGGGAAGAACAGAATTTTAATCACTGGTTCTGGCAGTGACCATCAGTAAGAATAATGTGTTGGGTGAGGCTGATGGAAACTTGACCATGGAAGTATCAGGCTACCACCCTCTGAGCCCCATAATGAGCATAGCAGGAAGTCCGATTAACAGGCATTATGGCCTCCTAATGTGATACAGTGTGAAATGTGCAACACCCTGAAATATTCTTGCCAGAGAGTTGATCTTTATTAAGCCTTGAGATCTAACTTTCTAGTTTACAAAAGTGAAAGAAGGTTGGGAAGGCAGATAGAAAAACACATTAAATGATACCACAAGGAAGAAATCAGAAAAATCCTGAATGAGGCAGAACATACAGACAGTTGACTAGATTCCTTCAATATGCCCTGGGCTTGGTGGTTGACTCACTGTTGATTAGACTGTGAGCTTCTTGAGGACAACATCCTACATTCATCTTTATATCACTAGTGTCTTCAGAATACCTAACACATGGTGAGTGCTGAGTAAGGGTCCTGTGTGTGTGTGTATGTGTGTGTGTACTGGGGACTGAGCCCAGGCCCTTTGCACTGAGCTACATATCCAGCCCTTTTTTATTTTGAGATAGTGTCGCCAGCATATAGCCCAGTGGCACAGTGCCTGCCTGGCAAGTGCAAGGCCCTGAGTTTGAGTCCTGGTACAGAAAAAGAGAAGGAAGGAAGGAAGGAAGGAAGGAAAGGAAGGAAGGAAGGAAGGAAGGAAGGAAGGAAGGAAGAAAGAAAGAAAGAAAGAAAGAAAGAAAGAAAGAAAGAAAGAAAGAAAGAAAGAAAGAAAGAGAGAGAGAAAGAAGGAAGGAGGGAGGGAAGGAAGTAGGAAGGAAGGAGGGTAGGAAAGGAAGGAAGGAAGGAAGAAAGGTCTTGCTAAGTTGAACGGTTTGGGCTTGAACTTGTGATCCTCTTGCCTCAGCTTCAGAGTGCTTAAGATTACAGATCTGGACCACCATGCCCAGCAGTAAGGGTCCTTGAAAGAATGAAGGAAGGATCATAAATATGAATAAGCCACAGTTCATTATCCTTGTGTCTTGGGGCCAACAGACATGCCCCAATCCTAGCTTCAGACTGTAACAACTATTTCTACATTAGTTTTTAATTTAATTCTTTAAAAAATATTTTAAAAGTATCCTAATGAGTTGGCAACTGGTCATATAATTAAATGATTATATCTTATTAATTGCACTGTTGCACATGAAAGAATAACCTGTAAAAAGTGGCATTTTCTAACCTCTCAGAATTTACTTTCTGTGAAGAGAGCCTGACTGTGGTAAATAAATGATAAATACAAATATTTCATGAATTTTCTTTTTTCTCTCTCTCTCACCAGACAGACAGATACACACACACACACACACACACACACACACACACACGCACACACAAATGCAATTATTTTTTCAGTCCTGGGAATAGAATCTAGGGTCTCACACATGCCAGGCAGGTGCTCTACCACTGAGCCATACTTCCAACCCTGCTTATGTTTTTTAATCTCTATATAGAACTTCCCTTCCAGCGCTAAGAGATAGTAAGGACTCAGCAATTCTGTGATACGCAGGGTAATCAGTCCAGAGTTACACCTTTCTCTGTCTGGCTAGTGTACCCCAGGAGATAATAGTCTTCTGCTTATTTACTCCAGGGACTGGTATTAGGCAACTAGGGATCAACCCTATAGCTGAGAGCCATACAGTGTACAGCCCACCAGAATTACGTAAATGAGCCAAGCCTTAACTGCTCGCTGTGCCTTGCTTTGCCTTTTGTCTTAGTTATTTTCTTTGCTGATGGGACAAAACACCTGACACCCACAACGTAAGGACAGAGAGGTTTATTTTGGCTCACAGCTCATAGAGGTTCAGTCCATAGTCAGCTGACTCCAAGGCAGGGCGGCAGAAGAGAGGAGCAACAACTCATGGCATGGCTGTAGGAAGCAGAGAGATTAATGGAGGAAGGAAGGAGATGTAGCCTCTAAGCCATGCCTGTAGTGACCCACTGCTTCCAACCATGTTTCACCTCCCAGCGTCACAGTTAGTGCCCCAAAATACCACCTATGCGCACATGAGGCTTTGGGGGACATCCAGACATGAACCATAATGCCTTTCCTGAGGAAATGCCCATAGAGGTTTAGGGCCTCACACACATTAGGTATATGCTCTACCACTGAGCTATATTCTTTGTCCAAGCATTTTAAAATATATATATTTTTGGCCATTTGTATATTTTTTTAAAGTTTCCCTTCAGATCCTTTGCCCATTTAAAAAAAATCAGATTGTCTTTCTACTATTGAGTTGTTTGAGTTTTAAGTATATGTTGGATATTAAGACCTTATCAGCTGTATAGTTTGCACAGAATTTTTTCCCATTTCATAGGTTGGTCCTCATCCTGTTGTTTCTTTGCTGTGCAGAAGCTTTTCAGCCTGATGTGATGCTACTTGTCTGTTTTTGCTATTGTTGCCTGTCCTTTGGGGTTATAACCAAAGGGAAAAGCATCGTTGCTCAGACAAGTGTCAGGGAGCTTTCCCTTTATATATTTTTCTGGTAGTTCTACAGTTTCAAGTTTTATATTTAAGTCTCTCTAGAATTCTTAACTTTGTGAAAATCCCAAGAACTAAAAAAGGAAACATTTTGAGCTGTCAGCATATGATATTGGTAAAGGTGGAATAAACAAGGAATGCATCTGCTTGTAAAGCTTTTAGTCTATTTTCTTTTAGACTTTTCTCCTGGCATAGATACATATATTTGTGTGTATAAGGAGAAGGATATAAACAGGGATTTTGTGACAGAAATTTTTGAAGTCTTAAAGAAATGCTTCAGGTTCTCTGTGAAGAATCCATGTAAACTTTTCAAACATTGTGATTTTTCCCAATATTTTATTTTTTAAATTTTTATTAATACATGTTTATAGTACCATAATC